CATGCAATTCCTTTTCTGCTAATGTCTGGAATTTTTCTCTTCTCAGTTTCCTTGAAAATATATACATGATTAGTGAGACATGCTCAACTTTCCTCAGTTTATCCAAACAAAATTCTTGAAAAATGTTATTCTTGTTTGAAGGCCTTTTCACATTTTGTTGAGGTTCTTTTGATTGCTTGATGTGTGTTCTCACTTAGTTGAGGTTTCACTCCACTTGCCAAACTATATCTTGACTATCAATCTCTCCAACCTTGCCTCAAAAGTTCTGGCCTTCTGGGGGCAACTAGGTGGTGCAATGGATAGAGCTCTGGCCTTGGAGTCAAGAGGACCTGAGTTCAAATCCAGCCTCAGATATATAACACTTAGTAGCTGTGTCACCCTGGGCAAGTCACTTAACCCTGATTGCCTCACCAAAAAAAAAAAGAAAGAAAAAAAAAGAAAAATAAGACAAACTACCTTCTTGTAGCAACAATGATTTGTTTAGTGAACTTCAGGTTCTCTCTTCAGGGTAGCCAAAGAGGGATAGTCCTTGACACTATTCATATAGACCTAGTACTTTAATAAGCTATAAAGGAGTTTCTCTCAAATTGAGCAACTACAATATAATGGTTGATTGGAATCCACTGTCCAGCACACTCTCTGACTTCAGTCTTGATGGTAATTTTTGCAGGAGGTCATGAGTTCAGGTAAATTGGTATCACATGATGAGATCACACCTAGCTTCTTTTGGGTCCAGGATAACCTCTGGCCTTCTCAAACTTCTTTTGATCTTCTGATTCTTCTTGGACTCAGTCAAAAGCCCACACTTAAGGACCTAAAGGGCCACACATGGCCTCGAGGCCACAGGTTCCCCACCCCTGCCCAGGCCCTACAGAGTCCCTGACTAAACTTTGTATGTTACACCCTTGCCTTACCTTTACTTGTTGCTGCTACTACTATTCAAACATACAGGGCTGCTCTTCCCTCCAGAAAGCCCTATCTGCTGTTGAATACTTGGCTGTTTGTTTTGTCCATGAAAGTTCCTTTATTAGAAGCACACAGGCAGTTCTCTTTTAAGGTTAGAAATACGTCAGGCTTACACTAATCTCCCAGTCAGCCAATTCCCACTCTGTGACTTTCTAAGCAGGACTGAACTATGGGAGGGATGCAGACTTCCCCCAAGATGTCTTATCTGCCTTGCTAACAAGACAATGTCAGAGAATGTGGTTTAGATTTCTAGAGCAAGGTTTAAGATATAGGCTTGTTGTCAGGGATGGAGTCTACCTCACAGGGACTGGTAAGAATGTGTTTGGATATTATGGATCTGATAAATTTGTGCTTTAAACTGCATATGGAAGATGACCGAGAAAACTTGCCACATGTAACTGTTCAAAGAGACAATCACAGAAATAGCCAGGACAACACAGGAAGAACAGAAGTGGAAATAGCCAGTCAGCCATTCACAGCATTAAGACCACCACTTAGCAGTGCAATTTTAGACTCTTTAGGCTAAAGAGACTGGCCAGCTATTTATTCACTTGGAGGTGCCTACCAATTGTGCCTATCCCCAAAGTAAAACCATCTTCTTTGACAAAAATGTTCATAGGATCTTAGACTTAGAGCAGGAAGGGACCTTGGAGGCTGAATCCACTCCTCTCCTATCCTCCATTTTGTAAGCTGAGAGAAGTGCCTTGCCTAGGATCACATAACTAGCTAGTAAGTATCTGAAAAGAGATTTGGACCTAAGTTTTCCTGACTCCAACTTCAGTGCCCTAGCCACTTTGCCAGTATTCCAAAGTGGCAAACTTTCTACCACTACATGTTTCTCCTCACTCTCCCAGGATCATAAGCTAGAAGGGATCTTTGACGACAGTCTATTCCCTTCATTTTACAGAGGAGGTAACTGAGGCTCAGGGAGGTATGGAGATTTACTCAAGGTCATCCCCTAGCCCAGTAAGTGGTAGAGCTGGGATTCCTAGCTCCAAATCCAGGGCTTTTCTCTCCCCATATTCATACTCACAGAGTTCACCATCTGCTGCTCTCTCTTTCTGTAGAAGCTTAATAACCCCACTACTGAATAGCAGGAATCAGAGGACCCAGCTGTGGATTCCAGCTCTACCACTTATTATACTAAGTTAAAACTACAGTCCTAGGTTTGACTTTGAAATATTTGTAGCTTTAGCAGAGCCAGCTGGTGGCACAGTAGAGCACTGGTCTTGGAGTAAGGAAATCTTGAGTTGAAATCCAGCCTTGGCCCACGTTCGACCCTCACCTGTAAAATGGGGATGATAACAGCACCTACCTTGAAGGGTTTTGTGAGGATCAAATGAGGGTGTTACTCATAGAACATATAGCACAGTGCCTGGCACAGAATAGATGCTACATAAAAATGCTCATTCCCCACTCCCCCTCCTTAGAAAACATCAGTTCTTTCTGTTGTTCTTACCCTTTTACCTTTAAAAGCAATTCAGAGGTGAGAGCTGAGCCATCTCTAGTCATGATCAGCAGGCTATGGGAAGAATTGGGAAGTAGTTGAAGTCACTTTTCTGCTCTCATTTGGCTTGTTTTCCTCCTTTTTCTTCCACGAGTGGGGTTCCCTTCCTCCCCAAACACCCATGTCCCTGTGCTTTCTCTCTCCTATCTCTATTAAAATTTATTTCAGATCTCTTACTCACACTGAGCTGTTAAGGGTTGATAAGCAGCATAGAGGTGATTGGGACCAGTCCAAATGGCTTCATCTGCTAGATAGTGCAGTTTAGTAGAGAGAATATGGGACCTGAGTTTATGTTCTGCTGTGATCCTTACTACCTGTGACTGTGAACAAGGCCCTTCAACTCTCTGAATCTCAATTTTCTTGCCCGTCAACTAGGGATAGTCATACCTATAATGTTTCAGAGTGTAACAAGGGGCTGGATGAGATGCAATCCCCACATGGAAAAGGCTGGGGCATCTGCTTCTAGAAAACCATGAAGTAGGGTAATGGAAGAGTCCTGCTCCCATATTTGGAGCATGTACAGTCTATAACTGGTTATGTTGAAGACTGGCTAGCAAATCACTAAGAGGAACAACTGAGATTGTATATGGAAAGTGCTTTGCAAAATTCAGAACATGGTAAATGTTAGCCATTGTTATTATTAGGAAAACCTGGGTAGGGGGGATTTCAGAAGTTCTTTTAAGACCCATCTCTTCATCCTCACTAGCATGTATAAACTGAACATATGCCATGTAGTCAGTACAGTGCAGCTGCTACTGTGGGACATGGAGGAAAGAGATTGCATGGAAATGTTCGTCTTTCTAAAATTTCTATTTTCCCCAATACTTAGCATAGGGTTCTTTCTCTGCATGTGGTAGATTACATACACACACACACACACACACACACACACACGTAAAACTGATATATATATATATATATATATAATTTAGAAATTAATGTTTTCCCTTATGTATTTCTCCTCATCACATAAACACACACTCCTTTCTTTGCCCCATTTCCTCAGGTGTGAGTTAGAGGGAAATGACCTTGGGAAACTAATTTTATCTCTCTGAGCTCTGTTTCCTCATATGAAAAGGGGGCATTTAAGCTTATGACCCCTCCTAGAGGGATTTAGCAATGTAGTGGTAATCAAAGGTTTAAGCCTTGATTCAAGTGTGGCACAGTGGAAAGAAAACTGGATTGGAGTCATCTTGGGACCTAGTTCCTCTGCTTTGCTCCTGTGTGACCTCTGCTTCCCCCTGTGACCTTGGGCAAGTCTCTCAAATTCTTCAGGACTGAGTTTCTTCATCTGTGAAGTGGGGGTAATGGATAAGAAGGTTGATTAAGGTGGTTTCTTCTGGCTTTAAATCTATGATTCCAAGGGGATGTTATGGATTTCAGGCACCACCCAGAGGGTTTTGTCATTCAATCAATAAGCATTTGCTAAGCACCTCCTATGTGCCAGGCATTGAGGATAGAAAATCCCTCCCTCAGGGGGCTCACTTTCTACTGGGGAAGAAAACATAAATACAAGGTAATTGGAGGAATGAATAGGATTTAGGGAACAACAAGACCTTTAAGAAGGTCTTGAAATCATACCACATGGATATTCACTAACACTCCCTATGGGTAAGACAGACCCATGATTTATGAAGTTATGTGAGGTCACAAAATTAGTCAGAAGGGTGCTTAGTGATCATCTAGTTCAACCTCCTTACTTTACAGATAAGCAAAGTGAGTTAGACCTAGGTTTCCTAGGTCCAAATATAGCACTCTTTTCACTAAACCATGCTACAACTGTTTTTATTTTAGTAAGAAATTGGCTTGCTGCTATGGGGAAATTCTTCTATCCAAAAATCACAGAAAAGAGCTACTATCCATATGGCACATATACTGGGAAGACTTTGGTAAATTTACTTATTGTAGTTCTAAAAAAAAAAAAAAGCTGTGATCTTAGATTGTCTTAAGTATAGTATCCAGAACAAGGTTGGTCAGGGTTGTACTGTATATTTGCCTTGTCCTGGTGAGAACATGGTATAACACTAATTTTATTTGTTGGGGACATTTTAGGAGGTGAATCACCAAACTAGAGGATATTCAGAAGACATCAATCAAGATGGTAAAGGGATCTAAAATCAATATGAAAATTTAAATATACTTTCTCAGATATCAATAGACTGTCTATATCCTAAAGAAATAAATTGACAAGCAATTTTAACACTGAATACATATACAGAACCCACACAGAGCACTTGACTGCTAGAATGAATTTGTAGTATCATGCCAATTCAGAAAATAGATTCTAAACTAAGTATATTCCAGCATAAATGAAAAATAAGTTTTAAACAGGCAAAAGAACACATTTTTCGGTTGTTTAAGGAAAATTGCGAACTTTACTGAAGACAAAAATTATAGATGAAAACTTCATAATACATTACAAATTAAAGATGTCAGACTGATGTACAATAGAAAATTTACTTCTACATTTAAGAAAAAGAAAATCTAGCTTCTCTTAAAATGAATAGATGATTCAATTAAAGGCTAATCATGGGTTCACTGTAATATTAAGCATGTTTAACATTCTTATATTATCCTGTAACAACTCTTTAATGGTATTTTCCCTTTTTTGTTGGTTTCCACAAAGTATCGCTTCGATAGTATTGAATACAGTAGCGGCTTTCCCTTGAAGATCAAATGGAATATTATTCATATTTAAGAATACAGTTAGCTGAGACTTGAAATCATATAAGAAGTTAATAAATAATCTAATTCTTTCATCATTATCCTTTTCTTTTGTAAACTTCTGAGGTTTATGCCCACTGCTGGATGTGTTTTCTCTCTCTACTAAGGAAAAGCTTTGGATTCCATACTTTTTGGCAGATTCAACATCATCTTTGAATTCTATGTGGCTTTTTGCATTTTTCAGTGCACGTTTTAGCTCCTTATTTATGTCTGAGATTTTTTTCAGAATTTGATCTTCAATGACTTGCTCCTTATTCTGCTGGTCTTTGGCTTCCTCTGATGGCTGGGAGATCCCTGTTCCTAAATTGTGCACCTGTGTTCCTGGGTAGTCCATGGCCAATGGGGCCACAAGAGCCATTTGTCCCACGATGACCCTTCTCCCTGGGGTAGCTGGTTTCACTTGTTGGGAAGCTTCCTCAATGAGTTTCAAAGCTGAGTCCAGAGATGGTTTATGATGCAACTTGGCAGGTACTTTTTGGACTGGTTTAGGAGCTACTTACACAAGTGGTTTGAGAATGGGTTTCTCTAACACTGTCTTAGAGGGTACCTGGGTAGGGTCCATAGCCATTTTCACAGCTAGCCCCAGAGTTGAGGCCACAGATTTCTTTACTGGTGGATCCTCAAATGCGTTTTCCTCACTATCAGATTCATCAATCTCTAAAACACTACTGTCATCATCCTCCAAATTCAAGTTCTCCATATCTGAGTTGTCCAAATCCTTGTTTATATCCTCTGTTTTCTCTTCCGTGTTGCCAGGTGCCTCTGTGGTAGCTATGCTGATTGTCCTCTCTTGCTCTTTTTTGTCCTGCTCCCTGGGGCACCGGATGGAGCTCTCGGGCTCCAGATTTCCCTTAAACCAGGCTGGGTGTTTCATCAAAGGCGCCTCATGTTTGGTCTTCTTAGACTTAGAAGATCTGGAAGTCAGGAAGAGCGGGATTTTCAGGAACTCCCCCAGCATCCCCCTGGTGCCTTCCTTGACTTCGTTCTCCTCGTCACAGCTTCCTTCTTGTCCCGGGTACCCTGGGTGGGCACTCTCAGGGCCATCTGTTGTAGGATTTCAGCGTAGTGCTTCAGGATGCTGTCTTCCTTGCCCAGGTTGCTGGAGCCCACCTGCATGTCATTTAGGGTCAGCAGCCATGAGTAGGCTATTTCTGATAGGGGCCAGAGCCATAGCATGGCTAAAAGCATGGCTGCCTTGGCACCCATCTTTACTGGCTGTCTACAGACTATCACAGCAGGACTCAGGGCCGAGAGTGAATCCTCAGGACCAAATGACCAGCTGTACCAAGCTTCAGCAGTCTAGTTGTCTAGTTGCCCTAGACAACTGAATCGTTGGCGCTCCAGTGTGCGCAGCCACTAGGGGGCACCGTGGCCGCGAGAGGGGACTGGAGAGCAACACCAATCTCGCTCCTCTAGCCTCATCTCGCGTCCCTCAACCTGACTGGCCCACCCTCCTGAGAGGCCTGCCCCTCCCTGCCCCACTAGTGAGCAGGGAGGAAGTGTACTTGTGTCTGCTCTACTCACCTTTCCTTTCCGTCCCTTTCATTTTCCCTTAAGGCCCTGCCTTGAGGGCAGTCAACTCCCAGAGGGTGACTCTTCTGGGCGCCCAAACCTCACCGATGCTAGCCACCAACAGACCCATACTCAAATTTCACAGGTGAAGAAACAGAAGCCCCTAGAGGTTAGGGTGGTTTGCTCCTGTGTTCACAAAGGTTAGACATGGCCAGGTTGAGATTTAGATTCATTCTTATTGATGAAGAAGAAGAGTGAAGAGACAGGCTGAGGAAGGGGCAGAGAGGGAGTTCTTTAAAATAAAAGAGTGAGATTTTCTAGTTTGGGCTTCCATGGAAGGAAAAAGAACTAGAGGCAAATAAGAAAGAAAAGTAAATTCTTCATTCGAAAGAAGAAAGATGTCAGAGTTTGATTTTGGAGAGGACAAATTTGGCAAAATTTGGGGAAAATTGAGGAAAATCTGAAGAAAAATTTGACCATGTCACTCCCCCTATTCCATAAACTCTTGTGGCATTAGAATAGGCAAAAAAGAAACAAAGCTATATCACTCTTTGCAGAGGATATGATGATATGCTTAGAGAATCCTACAGAATCAACTGAAAAACTATTTACAATAATTAACAACTTTAAAATAAACCCACACAAATCATCGACATTTTACTAGCAAAATCCAGCAGCAAAGAGATATAAAGGGAAATTCCATTTAAAGTGACTGTAAACAATATGAAATATTTGGGAGTCTACCTGCCAAGACAAACCTAGGGACTACATGAACACAAGTACAAAACACTTTTCACGCAAATAAAGTCAGATCTAAATAATTGGAAAAACATCAGTTGCTCATGGGTAGGCTGAGATAATATAATAAAAACGACAATTCTACCTAAATTAATTTACTTATTCAGTACCATACCAATCAAACTACCAAAAATATTTTATAGAGCTAGAAAAAATAATAACAAAATTCATCTGGAAGAACAAAAGGTCAAGAATAGCAAGGTAATTAATGCAAAGGAAAGTGGCCTAGCCATACTAGATCTAAAACTGCATCATAAAGCAGCAATCATCAAAACTATTTGGTGCTGGTAAGAAATAGAGTGGTAAATCAGTAGAATATATTAGGTACACAACACACAGTAGTCAATCTACTGTGTGATAAACCCAAAGACTCCAGCTTCTGGGATAAGAACTCAGTATTTGACAAAAACTGCTGGGAAAACTGGAAAGTAGTATGGCACAAACTAGGCATGGACCAACATCTTACACCATATATCAAGATAAAGTCAAAATGGGTACACAATTTAGATATAAAGGCTGATACTATAAACAAATTAGAAGAGCAAGGAGTAGTTTGCCTGTCAGATTTATGGAGAAGGGAAGAATTTATGACCAAACAAGAGATAGAGAACATTCTGAAATGCAAAATGGATAGTTCTGATTACATTAAATTGAAAAAGTTTTTCACAAACAAAGCCAATGCAACCAAGATCAGAAGGGAAGCAGAAACCTGAGAAACACTTTCTATAGCCAGTGTCTTTGATAAAGGCCTCATTTCTGAAATACATAGAGAACCGAGTCAAATTTATAAGAATACAAGCCATTCCCCAATTGATAAATGGTTAAAAGATATGAACAGGCAGTTTTCAGATGAAGAAATTAAAAGTATCTATAGTCATATGAAAAAATGCCCCAAATCACTCTTTTTTTTTGCCTTTTTGGTGAGGCAATTGGGGTTAAGTGACTTGCCCAAAGCTCGTAAGTGTCATGCATCTGAGACTGGATTTGAACTCACGTCCTCCTGACTCCTAGGCCAGAGCTCTTTCCACTGTGCCACCTAACTGCTCCCCAGATCACTCTTGATTAGAGAAATGCAAGTTGAAACAACTCTGAGGTACCACTTCACACCTATCAGATTGGTTAATATGACAAAACAGGAAAATGATAGATGTTGGAGAAGATGTGGGAAAATTGGGACACTAACACATTGTTGGTGGAATTGTGAATTGATCCAACCATTCTGGAGAACAATTTGGAACAATGCCCAAAGGGCTGTAAAAGTGTGCATATCCTTTGATCCAGCAATACCACTTCTAGGTCTGTATCCCAAAGAGATCATTAAAAAAGGGAAAAGGACCCACATGTATGAAAATATTTATAGCAGCTTTTTTGTGGTGGCAAGGAATTGGAAATTGAAGGAATGCCCATCAATTGGGGAATGGCTGAACAAGTTGTGGCCTATGAATGTGATGCAATACAATTGTTCCATAAGAAATGGTGAGCAGGCAGATTTTGGGAAAACCTGGAAAGCCTTACATGAACTGATGCTGAGTGAAGTGAGCAAAACCAGGAGGACATTGTACATAGTAACACAACATTGTGTAATGACCAACTTTGATAGACTTAGCTCTTCTCAGCAATGCAATGATCTAAGACAATTCCAAAAGACTCATGATGGAAAATGCTATACACACCCAAAGAAAGAACTATGGAGTCTGAATGCAGATTGAAGCACACTGTTTTCTCTTTTTTTTCTTTCTCATGGTTTTCCCCTTTTGTTCTGATTCTTCTTTCACAACATGACTAATGTGGAAATATATTTAATATGATTATAACTTGTATAGCCTATATCAGATTATATGCTGTCTTGGGGAAGGGGAAAAATTTAGAAGTCAAAATCTTATAAAAGTGAATGTTGAAAACTAAAAATAAATTTAATTAAAAAAAAACTCTTGTGGCTCCTATCACCTACAGTATCAAATACAAACTCCATTATTTAGCACTTAAAACCCTTTAAAATCTGCCCCATTCCAGTTGTTTTATGCTTTGTTCTCTCCCTCCTTTCCTTGACTACACCAAATTCTACAATACAGATGCACTGGCCTATTTGTTGTTCCTGTCACATGACATTCCATTTCCCAACTCTGTGCATTTGTATTAGGTATCCTCTCTTGCTTATAATAGAGTTAGGTGGCACAGTGGAGTGCTAGGACTGGAGTCAGGAAGATTTGAGTTCAAATCCGGCGTCAAACGCTTATTAACTTAAAGGAAGCTGGGCAAGTGACCCTGGGCAAATCACTTAACCCTGTTTGCCTCAGTTTCTTCATCTGTAAAGTGAGCTGGAGAAGGAAATGGCAAACCACTCCAGTATCTCTGCCAAGAAAACCCCAAATGGGGTTGTGAAGAGTTGGAAATGGCTAAACAACAACAACTTGCTTGTAATGCTCTCCCTCCTTACTTCTGCTTCCTGGCTTCCCTGTCTTTTCTTTTTTAAGACAGCACAAATATGGAAGAGAGGAAAAAGAAAGTAAAAGCAGAAATTGTCTCTCCCTTTCAAGTCTACAGAGTTCTTCTGCAGGAGTCTTTTTCTTTATTTCCCTAGTGCTTAGCACAGTGTCTAGCACATAGTAGTCAATGCTTTTTGACCTTAAAATTAAGTTTCATACTTTAATTAAGTATGAAATTTAAAAGGAGAACTAATGGGTAAAGAGGAACTTTTGGGAATAATGATCTCACTATCTTAGGTTTGGTTATAGTGAAGGCTGACCTGCTTGGAATATCTGCTTAGTGAGATCTTCCTCCTCTTTTAACTGAGAGATTGTCCAGTAAGTTTCAGAGAATGAAGTTGGGGATTCTCAGCTTCTATTAAAAATCAAAGAAGATATTGGAATACAATATTCCAAAAGTCAAAAGGGACAGGCTTACAACCAAGAACACCTTACTTGGCAAAGCTAAGCATAATCCTACATAGGAAAAAAAACCCCAGACCTTTAATGTAATAGAAAACTCTCAAGAATTTCTTACAAAACACTAGATCTGAGTAGAAACTTTGAAATGTAAACACAAGAGTCAAGAGTAACTTAGAAAAGTAAATGTATTTAATCAATTGGAAGGAACTGTAGGATGATGTAGTGCTAACATTCTAATAGGGAGAGTCAGGGCAAGTCTATAAACATTTATTAAATACCTTCTATGTGCCTTTGGAAGGGCAAAAACAGTTCTGCTCTAAAGGAGTGCACAGTCTAATGGGGAAGACAACATGCAAACAATTATGTACAAGCATGATATGTACAGAATAAATTTGAGATAATAGAGGGAAAACACTAGCATTAGGTGAGATTTTAGCTGGGAATTGAAGGCAGTCAGGGAAGCCAAGAGGTGGAAATGAGCAGAGAGAGAATTCCAGGCATGAGGGATAGCTGGTGAAAATGAATGGAGTTGGGAGATAATAAGGTGTCTTGTATGGGGAATTGCAAGGAGGCCAGTGTTATTCAATTTCAGAGTACATTGTGGGAGTGGGGTGGGTTTAAGATGTAAGAAGACTGGAAAGGTAGGAAGGAGTCAGGTTATGAAGGACAAACACAGGATTTTATATTTGATCCTTGAGGTGATAGGGAGTCACAGGAGTTTATTGAATAAGGGGATTACATGGTCAGATCTGGGCTTTAGGAAAATCACTTGGTGGCTGAATGGAGGAGGGACTAGAGTGGAGAGAGACTTGAGGAAGAGAAACCCACTAGCAGGCTATTATAATAGTCCAGGTATGAGGTGATGAAGGCCTACACCAGGTTGGTGGCAGTGTCAGAGAAGAGAAGGAAATGTATACAAGAGATGTTGTGAGAGTAGAAATTCAACAAAAGATTGGACATGTAGAGTAAGTGGAAGTGAGGAGTTGAGGAAAACACCAAGGTGATAGG